ATTGAATTACTAAAGTTAAGTTTTTTAATCAATAAAAATTAAATAAGTTCAGTCAAAATATATATTTAATTTTCCTGTCAAAAAAAAAATAAAAAAAAAATGCATTGTTGAGCATTAAAAAAAATTGTTCTGTATATTTTAACTTTTTAAGTGAAGAGACAAGACAGATCTTAATTATATTATGCTTTCAAACTTTCTAATTTGGGGCCAAATTATTACACTTCTATTTTTTTTTTTTTTTTTTTTTTTTTACACATTTTCAGAATTTAATTGGTCATACATACACATGCATATTTTGAGTCGTTGGCGATATAACTCAGGTCAGTAATTGAAGCCACCAACCTCAAGTTATCTATAGAATCCCCACCTCGTATAACACTAAGTAACTTGTAATACGTAGTATGTAAATAATGTAATATGTCAGAAGTACGAAGTAGCACATTATTGTAACTCTTAAAATTCTAAGTAAAAAAAAAAAAAAAAAAAAAAAACTAAAAAAGCGGTCCTCATTAGTATTTATCCTGATTTATGTGAGGAAATTAACGAAGAAAAGTTTAGGAATTGTCTTACCAAAAGTTGCCTATGTGACTTAAAAAGATCGAAAGTGAGCTGCCCTAGGGGTGTTCTCGAGAACTATCTCCGACTCTAGCATAAGGTGGAGAAAGAAAATATGTAGAAGAGTTTTGTGTAATGTGTATAGTGATGAGTATTATCAGATAACGAGATTGCCTTCCAATATATTTATAGGGATGCATGTGTGATGACAATATTCATAATTATTGAAAATCTTTTGATTATGAGAACGACGAGTCGTAATAAACCTGTGATTGAAAGAGGACGTCAAATGGGAAGGTTGTATGTGTTCCATTCGTATTAAATTAAATTAGCCGGAGTTTAATGTCAAAGGTATCTTTCATATTTAGTGTGTCCGATGGACCTCATTTAGAAACTTGATGAGGAGGAGACCAAAAAATCTCTATCTATCTATTGCAATTTCACATTGAATAAATACAAATATCTAACTCATGATTCTAATGAACACAACCTTATTATTTGTTAATAGGACTAAAGACGATATAGCAATAAAAACACTATTAAAAGACAAAAGATGTGACGATCAATTAAGTTTATACATTGGACAACGAACTAAGTGTTGATAAATTATTTGGTGTATAAATTAGCTAAAAGAGCTAGTAACAATAATGAACTTATTTAATCGTAAGAGTTTATGTGGGGGAATTGAATCTTCTTGTCCATAGTGTATAGTAACAATGATATGATGGAACCAGATCAGTATCAAGCTCAAAAGTGGAAAAGTATTTTATCTTTTGATGTAGTTCACAACATATACCCATTAGACACGTTAAAGTTGTTAATAGCATTGAAAGCAACATGAATCCAATCCATCTACTTATTATTAGGTGCTTGTACCGATCCAAAGTGTGGACACATTAAAAGAAGCCAAGGTAGCACGTAGGCCAACCGCCAAATATAGCCTTTGATGCATGGAAAGAGTTCAAATATAGCATAAAAAGAATTTAATCCTTCAAATCATAACATATTGTACGAGACGACGATGAATGAGTACGTGGAAGAGAAGGGATCACACAATCCCTTGGAAATCACATTGTAGTTCGTATAATCACCAAATTTGATATTTTGCAATCAAGATTAATACTTCTTACATTCTCAAATAATTACCATCCATGTATATAAATATATCATATTATTATGTGATGTGGATTCATTTATTGGTTATCTCCCTGACATTTTCTCTCCCACTAATCCACTATCAATAGGTTTTAAAAAATTCTTTACACTATCTACCCTTGACACTTACAAGTTACACTCCTTATTTTTTTTGATTTTAATAGAACGATTGACAAAAACTATGGCTATGTACAAACTTATTTACATTTTTGCTCTGATTTGAAACTTATTTACAGATTTGTCGTCCACGTAGATTCGAATATAATTATTTCGCTTTTAAAATTTTTTGCAGAGCAAAACCACTATCCTGTGACCTATGTTCAAACCGCTACTTTGACTGAAGAAGCACGACGGTGAGGAGGCGAACAACTACTATACTACATAGGCCGATCGATTTGGACTTTGGTGAACACTCGCTCGTCCGTTGGTTTTACTGGGCAATTGGTGTACGTTGTTAGAGAAGCAGCAAAAGGAGAAATTTAAGTTTCTCTTAATGTGTAAAAAATATAAGGTGAAACGGCTATCCTAAGTAGCAATTTTACTCTATAACACTACTTAGGATAACGGTTTATCCTTTTAATTTTTCTTTTAAAAACAATTATACTCTAAACCTACGTGGACGGCAAATCTGTAAATAAGTTTTAACCAAGAGCAAATATGTGAATACGTTTACAAGTAACCTTAGTTTTGTTAATCGTTCATTTTAATATGTGTATCTTAATTTAGCAAGACAATAGGTAAATGAATGAGAGAGTGAAAATCACTATTTGTTATATATATATATATGGCTATTTTTGTTGTTTGTAGATGTTTAACAAAGGATGTTTCATTATTATTTACTTTCTCTAATCTCTATTAATTAAAACAATTACGTACTCCCCTCTCTTCTCTCTAAAAATCCTAGCCTCCATTGTTGAATTTTGAAGGGGCTTCCATCGATTTTCAGTGAAAAATCCCAATCTTTGTTTTTTGTGTGCCTTTTCTCTTTGTTTTTGTTTGTTCTAGATTTATAATAACTCTTCCTCTTTTAGGAGGAACGCTTCTCCCTCGAAAGAAAGGGTTTTTCTTCTTCTTTAGGAGGATTTTTCTCCTTCATTTGAAAGAAAAGGTTTTTCTTCTCTCTTTTGAGGGAGGATTTGCTTTTTTGTTTGATGGATTGTTATAGAGTTGTTTCATGGGTAAAGATTTGTGTGGGATCGAAAAAGAGGTTAATGAATCAAGTGAAAATTTTCTTCACGGCTACAACAGATCAATAGACCCCCTTGTCGAAGCAGGCTGTAAATCACAGCGATGTGAAAGAGGGTTTGCAACAACGATCATAGTTTTGCTGAAAGGATGTACAATTTATTTGCAGCAACGATAGAAGCTTTGCTGAAAGGATGTTTTTATTTGAATCAATTGTCATGTATTTGTTTAATATAAATCTCTTTGTAAATGTCGTATGACTTTTTATTTATGAATCAATCTTTTGTTAAAAAAAAAAAAAAAAAAGGGAAGTTTCATTATTCGTACTAAAAAATTATTCATATTTAATTTAATATACATTTTTTTGGCGTGATAATTTAATACAAAATTAATAAGTAACCTACTAAAACCCTTAATTTGGTCCCTCATTTATCTTCCACTATACTGCTATTTTTGGCGCATTTAATCTTTGAAAAGTAGACATTACAATGTTTAATTGTTAATTGAAAGATGAAAACTGCAAGCTAGTAACACATATTTGTTGAATTGATCGAAACGTATGGGTTATGAGACACATAAACCTTGGCAGATGTCAAAGATTAGTTGATTAAAGTCTTGCGGACAATACTATATACTAATAGTGACTCTAAAAGCATATAAACTACCTTAAATTTTCTTGACAATTCTTACATGCATCTAACCTATAATAGAGAAGCAGAAACGCATGCAATGGAAGATGGAGCAAAGGAGAAAATATGGCTAGAGTGACAGAGGAACAAGGGATCAAGGTCGGGATCTATGAACTCATACATAAAAATAATATACTCTAGTCATCATATTTTGTTGTTTTTGGATCTTTATTATGCTAAAATGATCGACTTAAATTTTGCTTAGTTTTTGGATTTGGTGGGTTATGCTGGAATTTACATAAATATGAACTAAATAAGTAGACATGAAAATAGTATTCATTATTCAACAACTCATCATACTACGTATGTTTTTAAGAATGCTCGCTGTGTTAAACTTGTTAACTTGCCTTATTTTGTGCTTACAATTGGGAATTCTTTCACACAATTTTTGTGTGGCAGCATCCTATGCGGAGCACACATAACACATGTCATCTTGTGCGACCTTATTAATCAAACTTAGTCTATTAGATCGAGTTGAGTAATAACTTTAATTTTTGAAAAATTAGCGACGATAGCCAATCCAAGAAGCTAAGGGCCCTTCGACCAGCAAACGTGAAAGCTAAGATAGATATTACAATCATTATTGAATAGCAATCAATCAAAACACAGCAAAATGGTGATCCAAATCACACAGCTACATACAATCAACTTCAGTAGTCCATTTCTTAACTATATCATATCTACCAATTAAAACCCCTTAGCTTCAATTCTTAGGCCATTTATCATAGCATACCTATCAAATGAGCAATAATATAATCAACGATTTTCTATCAAATAACAACCATATGTATGTGAAAGGCATTGCGTAATCTGTTCCTACAACATTTATTAATGTTGTTGATTGTTTGATCATAAAAGAGTTTAGGTGATCGAAATGCAATGCAAGTCGATTGATGTACCCTAATCCTACTCACTATTACTTTCTGTAGCTTAATTAGCACAAGGTAGGTAGTTTGCATTGTCAAGTTATTATGCAATTACTAAGTGAATGACATTTAATTTCACCAAAAATTTATATCCTCACATTGCTTACATTAAAAAAATTAATATCGCGTTGATGATATTATAACAATTCAAAATGCGACAACTAATTTCAGACTGGCTAAGCAAGAGTAGGATTGGATTAGTGTATTATTACAAACAATGAAACAAGGTTATTCAACACATGGCCTAACCAAACTAGTAGCCTTTTATGAATACACCATTAAAAACCTATACTCGTAGTCCTACTAAAAACATGAAAGTAAAATCATCTCAAGTACGTATACTTTAAAATGATAACATAAAAATAAATACGCACTTGTATTTGGAAGTTTGGTTTCCAACAAAAAAATGATCAACGTCCAAAAAAAAAAAAAAGAACGTCACATTGATGAGAACTTATTGAGAAGTCTCAGGAGATGGTGTACATATCCTCTTTTTTATTAATTACACAAAGCACTTTAAATGCCTTCTCAACTAACCTGTCCTTTTCTTCCTCAACTCCCTAATTTCATCCATCTAATTCCAAACACCCCGTTTTGTTTTGGTCATCATATATATTCATCATCTTATGTAGTATCATATATCCCTAAGCTATACTCATCATTAAATTATAATTCGGGCTTTCGCAACGATCAGCCAGTTTCGAACTCATTACTTCACAAATTACGCTCTCCTTTTCCTTGTAAATTTTGTTCCTTCTCTCTCTCTCTTTTTTTTTTTAATTGCTTCTTTTAGTTTATACTTGGTATATATTAGCCCGTGTTTTTCTTTTCTTTCATTTTGCGCGTTAGAAATGGTTTTATGTATTTGTTACGTTCGAACTGGCTAGTTTTGATCATAATAGTATTGCAAAAACTGCAAGGCAAAATAACCAAGAAAGAGGAGGAAAAAAGGGTTGAGCAAAATGTGTGTGATTGATCAAACTTGCATTGTTATAAAGTTGAAACACACACATTATTTACGAACTTTTCACCGACTTCTATTAAATGACCTTAAAAAGTTAGCTTGAATTCACCACTTATTTATTACCACCTGACCTCATCAACTTTATCTTTAACGTATATGCTGTAAACAAGTAATAAATCAACAAAAACAAAATTGACCTATCATGGTTAATATTGTACGTACGAACATGTGGCTATATTTTTTATTCTGTATTCTATGCTTGTTTTGAGGTCAAATATTAACATAATTAAGGTTGGTGAACCACAGTGTATGATATATATAAGCTATGACGACGACCAAGAAATTCTCAGCACAATTAGGTAATGGAAGAGATGGACAAGACGGCCGCCCGGCCGTCGGTCCAATTTATCGGAATCTTCTTGCCAAGAATGAGTTCCCACCACCTCTTCCTGATGTTTCTACTGCTTGGGATTCCTTCAGGTAATTTTGTTTTTTTCTTATTATACTTCACTTTTTTTACTACCTTATAAAGTTTTTCTAGGTTAGTGCAAGATTTTGTGATTGTACATTAATTCATGGTAACTTAGCTAAGGTTGCACCATCGTACACTGATTATGAGACAACTTTTATTGAGAAATGACGTGACATTTTCCGTCTCATGTTTGAATTTATCTCTAATTTTGTAGGCTTTCAGCTGAAAAGAATGCAGGAAATAATATGTTGGGTTGGCGTGAAATGGTTAATGGCAAGGTAATAACTTACAAAAGTAATAAAAAAATATAAAGGGTTAATTTTAAATTCTCTAATTTTGACCATAGTAAGTTAATTTTAATATGTAGCTAATTGGTTTTGGGTGAAAATGTTAAATAGTGGGGGCCTTATGTCTGGAAAAGTTACAAGGAAGTTTATGAAGAAGTTCTAAACATTGGTTCAGCATTACGAGCATGTGGGGCTCAACCTGTAAGAAAATTTATAAATTTTGACTATCATATACTTTTAATTTTAATAATATTTTATCGGTTTATATTTTTACATGACCAATATTCTTGCTGACCATAAATTAATATAGGGTGCAAAGATCGGAATATATGGTGTTAATTGTCCTCAATGGATTATGGCAATGGAGGTTAGTTTGCTTCAAGAAAATAAAATCGTTTATAAATATACTATGATAATTAATAAGTATATTATAATTATATATACTAAAAAATTTCAATTTGTGTATAGGCTTGTAATGCTCACAGTTTGATATGTGTGCCTCTATATGATACCTTAGGTAAGAATTAATTAATTAACTCTCAATTAATTTGTTGAAAGATAATAATTCATCTAAAATACTGTTATTATTGTCTAATCAGGTCCTGGTGCTATAAATTACATAATTGATCATGCTGAGATTGATTATGTTTTCGTCCATTCCCTAAAGGTTGACGAAGTATGTGTGTACAACAACTCTATCTTCCTATACTTGTACGTGTTTGTGCTTTGTTTAGAGGTTTAATTTCGTATGGCCTGATTTGCTGTTGTGCTTGTGTTTTTTGTACAGCTTCTTAACCCCGATTGTTCCTCCACTACACGGCTAAAATGTAAGATTGATATACTTTTAACTGTGAGTTGGTTTGTTTAGACTGAATTCAGTGTGTATTCTAATTAACTAGATGGATTTTTTATGATATTGTAGCGATTGTTTGTTTTACGTCGTTCACTGAGGAAGAAAACCTGAAGGCTCGTAATGCAGGAATTGAGGCATACTCATGGAATCAGTTTCTCCATGTGGTCAGACTATGTGCTTGATTATGCTTGTTTTTAACTTGTGTTTTAAGTTGTTAGCTGTTAAGCTTATATTTAATCAGTATTTATGTGTTCACAATTTATCTGGTCATGTTCGAATAGGGGAAGGAGAATCCATCAGAGCCTGTTCCGCCACAACCAATCAATATCTGTACCATAATGTACACGAGTGGCACCAGTGGAGATCCGAAAGGTGTTGTGCTAACACATGAAAATATGGCTATGTTTTTAAGCGGGTTGGATCTTTTCTTGGAACAATTTGATGACAAGGTAACCAACCTCGCGCACACATTGTATAGTTCTGTTACTTTTTACTCGTGTTATCATTGGCTCTTTATCATGCAATGATATGATTAATTATGTACTCTTTAACAGATGACAGTAAATGATGTGTATCTATCATTCCTTCCCCTGGCTCACATATTAGATCGTGTTATAGAAGAATATTTTTTTCACAAGGGTGCTTCTGTTGGCTTCTTTCATGGGGTACTCTTGAACTCTTGTTACTCTATTCTATCATATCTTGTAACACGCAAAAGTTTTTTTTTACCACCAAGAAACAGGCTACTCTGCTACAAAAGTTTCCTCAGCTCATATCGAGTTTTATGAGTGTTGTTGACTTGTGCAATGCAGAATGTAAAAGAAATCAGTGACGATCTCATGGAGTTAAAGCCAACTTTTTTTGCTGGTGTACCTAGAGTTTTTGACCGTGTGTATGAAGGCATGTGCTTATACTCAGTCCTCCCTCTTTGATCTGGCTTGTACCAATGGAAGTTTACTAATTAATTGCGTGTTCACCAGGCATACAGAAGGCAATTGAAGATCTTATTCCGAGGAGGAGGAAGATTTTTCACCTTCTTTACAAATAGTAAGTTGCTCATGTTCTGTTTACATTTTAGTTCCTTGGCAAAAACAAAATACTTATGATAATAAGTGGTTTATAATATGCAGAATATATAACGGTTATAAGTCTCTTTTTTGTTGAAATGCAGCAAATTATTTTGGATGAATCGAGGGTACAAGCACAAGCATGCATCTCCTTTAGCAGATTTATTAGCCTTCAGAAAGGTTATTGCCTTTGATCTGATTTCACATTCTGATCTACTTTGTGCTTTAATATTCTTCAGAATATATAACTTTTATCAGCTCTTGTTTACTGATTTCAGTGCTTCATGTGTATTTTCAGCTGAACAACTATATTTATTCTTGAGTGTGACACTTATTATTGTACTGCAATGCCTTACTCATAGTACAATGTCTGCAACTAATTTAGGTGAAGAACAAGCTAGGTGGTAGGGTTCGACTTATGGTATGTGGAGCTGCACCTTGGAGCGAAGAAGTGGAGGAGTTTTTGCGGGTTACTTGCTGTTGTTTTGTACTTCAAGGCTATGGTACAGGAAAACTTTAGCCTGCTTATTCCTTCATCTGTAATCATTTGACTTGTAAACTTGGTTTTAAGTTTTAATCAAATTTCTGGTTTTTGTGCAGGATTGACAGAAACCTGTGGATTGTCCACAGTTTGCTACCCTGATGAAATGTCGATGCTAGGAGCTGTCGGTGCTCCATCTGTATACACAGAAATGCGCCTTGAAGAGGTTCCGGAGATGGGGTACCACCCATTGGCTGATCCTCCACGCGGGGAGATATGCTTGAGGGGCAAAACACTGTTTTCCGAATACTACAAAAACCCTGAGTTAACTACAGAGTCTATTAGAGATGGGTGGTTTCATTCAGGTTAAGCCTCTGTCTGGTTCCTGCTTATGTCAGATTTCTTTCCTTGAAAAATTTATACATACATAAATTCTTTCTTTATAAATTGTCAGGTGACATTGGTGAGGTGCTTCCTAATGGAACAATAAAGATCATTGATAGAAAGAAGAATCTGATCAAACTTTCACAAGGAGAGTATGTCGCTCTTGAGTACTTAGAGAAAGTATACAGCATTACTCCCATTGTCGAAGATGTAAAGCCTCTTCTAAGATAACTTATAACCTCTGCTTACTCTAGGGTCCTGTATTCTAATCTCATTACAGTTAAAAGTCTAAGGTCCTCCTTACTCTAGGAACTAATTTTTTGGTGTCTTTTTGAAGATTTGGGTTTATGGAGATAGCTTTAAGTCGATGTTGGTTGCTGTTGTGGTGCCAAATGAAGATAATACCAAGAAATGGGCGGCTCAAAATGGATGTAAAGGCACATTCACTGAGTTGTGCTCCCTTAAAGAGTTCAGAAATTACGTCCTCTCTGAACTTACAGTTGCTGCGGAAAGAAACAAGGTGCATACAACCTTCATATAAGAACTAAACATTTCTAAAACGAGTAGATCTCTGAACATGTCAATCATTCTTGTAACAGCTTAGAGGTTTCGAGCATGTCAAGGGAGTCGTTATTGAACCTCAGACCTTTGAATTATTACCAGGCTTAATGACACCAACTATGAAGAAGAGGAGGGATAAAATGTTAAAACATTATCAGGTAACAAACTATACACTTTCTTCAATTCGTTTCACAAGGAACTTTGATTTCATGCGATATTTCCTGATGTATTTTTCAAACCATGTACAGGCCGAAATTGATGACTTGTACAACACTTTGGCTAAAGGGAAGTGCTGAACGACAAATGCAAACTCAATATAATGTCTTCATGTGTGCAGCTGTTTAAGAAGAATAAACAGTGAAGAAGGCTAGGAGCATTTTCTAACTTTCTGTATAAAGTTTGTATTTGAGGCCAGAGTTTGAAGAAAATGGAAAGTCGCTGAGTTTTATCATCAATTAGATTGATTTCTTAGTTTTGTAACGTTTCATGATGCTGCATATTGTTACTGCTTGTACTTCAATTCTTACTCCGTGTATGATAACTGGCTTAAAGTTGAAGTTAGATAATAACACAACTTAATTAATACCAGATTATAACATGAATCAAATCTGTTGATCGATGGGTTTTCAATTAGAAAGTTTTGATAGAATCCACCTTCAAAGAATTAGACTGTTACTGATTAAGCTTAATAAGCTGAACAATAAATGTGACTGTTTACTAAGAGATTTATTCTATTTTTAACAAATCTGTAAAGGTAATATTTACAAAACTAATTGAATTAAGAGAGAATTTGTTATGTTATGTTATAGTAATAATAACCCTTACAATTTGTAATAATTCTTGAAACAAAATAGCCAATCATATCAATTAATATAGGAACATGAATGTGAAAGATTAAAACTCATTTCGAAACTCAATATCTTCAACTTGATTACTTTAAATAGCGAGTTAAACTCAAACAACCTAATTTTTTAGAAAGCTCAAACACCGATAAGATAGAGCTTGGCTATATGTAATATGCCTAGTTGGGTTGAACGGTTGGGTCTCTTTAGCTCATTTCCACCCTCAACTTAGGTCACAACATAATAAACTTTATAACAATGTTTCGTTACACCAAAAATAATAAAGTTATAATGTTGTTAACCATAGCAAACAGAAAATATTCACTCAAATTTTACCGCCAAATAACTACCCTTCAACCAGCTACTTTGAACCAAATGATAAAGATTTCCCTTCAAAATTCCCAACTTAACGATGCTCGGATGCTCTTTGATGACAATCCCAGTTCTCGAGATGTTGTTTCATGGAATATGATGATTGCAGGTTATATTAAAAAGAACCATATTGATGTTGCCCGCCAAATGTTCGATGAAATGCCTCAAAGAGATATTGTCTCTTGGAATACCTGGATTTCTGGTCTTCAGAAGAAGAAAGATCACAAGAATACTTACCAGTGTTACCTCCAGATTCAGAGTTCTGGTTTGCGGCCAACTCCGTACACTTTTTCGATAGTGATTAGTTCGGTTTTGGGTAGTGTATCCAATGTTTTGATTCCTCAGCTTCATGCTCAGATTGTTTCATTTGGTCATTATTCTAGTGTTTATGTTGGATCAGCATTGATGAGGGGTTATACAGATTTGGAGGATCATTCTGCTTTACGTGGGGTGTTTGATGATATATTAGACAAAGATAATAGTGTATGGAACGCGTTGATTTTGGGTTATATGGACTTGGGTTTTACTGATGAAGCTCAGAGAGCTTTCAACAAGATGCCTCAGAAAGATGTGGTTTCTTGGACTACCATGGTTGATGGGTATTTGAAGAATAATGAGGTTGAAAGAGCTAGGTATGTTTTTGATAAGATGAAAGAAAAGAATGTCGTTTCATGGACTGCTATGATCTCTGGGTATGTGGGAGTAGACATGTGTTTGGCTTTGGAGTTGTTTATTCTGATGATGAAATCGGGCCCTCGGCCAAATCCGCATACATTTGCAAGCATTTTAACTGCCTGTGCTAAGCATTCTGAACTTCGTACTGGACAGCAAATTCATGCAACCATAGTGAAGCAGGGTATACTTGTTGATAATGTCTTGGTGACTGCTTTTATCAGTATGTATGCCAAATGTGGAGACATTGAAGCAGCATATTGTATATTTGAGCAAATGCCTGGCAAGAATTTGGTGTCTTGGAATACAATATTAGGCTGTCATGCCAGGCATGGGCGAGCAAGAACAGCATTGGATGAGTTTGAGAAAATGATTAGCAGTGAGGTGAGGCCGAATAACGTAACATTTACCAACATTTTATCTGCTTGTGCCCATGGAGGTCTAGTTGAAGAAGGGGAAAAAGTCTTTTATTGCATGGAAAAAACTTATGGCATACATCCAGAAAAAGAGCATTATGCTTGCATGGTAGATCTCTATGGAAGAGCAGGTCACCTTGACAAGGCAAAGAGCTTAATTGACCACATGCCATTCGAGCCGGATACTGTTGTATGGGGTGCATTGCTTGCGGCGTGTGGCTTGCATTCAGATTTTGAATTTGGCAGTAATGCTGCAGATGCACTCCACAACTTGGAAAGAAATCACCCTGCTGCATATATGGTGCTTTCAAAGATCCTTGGTGAAAGAGGAATGTGGAGCTCTTTGACAGATATTAAACAGATGGAATATGAAAACATGAAAAAGCAAAAGGCTGGCAGTTGGATTGGTTAAATAGAGCTGGAAACTGGTCTTAATTCTGAAAGTAGACAGCATACTTGGTATGACCATATTTTTATTGCACAACCAAATATCAAGACGATTGAATAATGCCTGGAGAGCATACTGTGTCAAAATGAAGTAATTTCATTTAGACAAGCATGCACTATTATTCATCCATTGATCTTCAGGCACAGAATCATCAAACTTCAGTCATTCAGAGATCCAAGTTGATATTTGCTCTTTCTAAGATTGCTTGAAGTCAAAAATCCATGTACTTTGGTTTGTACATCTGAAAGCAGCTGGAGATTGGAGTTTTCAGTCCCCTGTGGATGTCAAGGAGACAGAAAATCGCTTCATGGAAGTACTGATTCTTTCACAATGAAATCAGAAAGAAACTTGGGGCTCTGCTACGGTCATACAGAATTGAATGCTATGCCACCATTTGGCTGGCTGAGATGGCTTCTTTCCAATTTCTTCTGCACTTAGCCACCATCCCCCAGTTGTCTTGCAGGCACGACTAACCTGATTAGAATGATTTACTAGAAGTAAACTTTGGTACTTCAAATCCATTATTACACTGTCAAAGGCCTCACCCACAAGGTCAGTTTTGGGAGCTCGCACGAAGGATGCAAGTGAAGCCTGAATCTAGAAGGGCAACTATATATCTATCTGAATTTTGAAGTCTTCAACTCCCATGCTCAAATGAGCAATGAGGAAACACATTAGGAATAACCAATATACTCGCACCATGTTTTCTGATTCCGAAATTCTCCGAGGAATAAACTCCAAGGCCAGAAAGCCATTATTTTACATCAGTGGAGTCCGGGTCAACTATTAGACATGTTTGTTTGCCATTTCATTTCTAATCCCTCTTGTTAGTACTCTGCTCCAGCCACACAAAACTAAAGGCCAACCCCAAAAGTGCTATACATGCGAATAAAAACCAAAACAAAATTTTGGATTGGATATCTGAAAAATAGGATGCGGCAGAATACTCAAATAGTTTTCTCACCTGTAATTCTTTACCTTCCAAAAAAGTTTTCTTTTTTCAAATCAAAGATGGAATCATGGAAGTAATTAAATATACTGCAGCAAGTATCAAGCGAGAAAATACTAGTCCAAACAATTTTATAAACTAAGATGGTATTAATTTAAATAAATAAAAGAAGATGACAGAAGGTAACAATTTGCACGAAATTGTAAGTATAACTAAGTTACACTCCAAGTAAAAGCAGCTTCCATTACACAAGGCCAATCACTAGAATTCTAAATTTAATCAGATAACAGGACATGACTGCAGCCTTTGGGAATGTCACAAATCCCACCTTGAAATGATGAAATAGCAAGAAACAAAAACTCCTCAACAAGGTGCACTTCCAAAGCTATCCATGTCCCAGGAGTACAGGAAGAACTATGAGGTGAATAATATATCTCCTACCTCCTATTCTTGCTCTCTTCCCCATCCCTCTCACGCTTCTTGTAAAGCTTCTCCAGAACTCGCTTTGCTTCACAATTAGGGAAGTTTTCAAGGTCATAGTAGTGTGGTGCAATATCAACAAGCCTGTTCAGAGAAAAAATTTAAAAAAAAAAAAAAAAAAAAAAAAACAGGCTTTATAACACAAGATCATTGATAATAGCCAAGCTGTGGTATTAAAGGACAGGATGATCTAACCATTCTCCACGGACATCAGTAACAGTACGAATGAAATTCCGGCTGGTCAACACGTATTCATTGTATATAACCCACTCTGGTTTATGATCCAAGCAATTTGAAGGATGCAAGTGAACCACCTATAGGGAGACACCATTGCATTGTATATTAGTTAAAAACTTACAATTGAACATATGTTTGAGCATTAAGTTATAAATAATGTCATTATTTGGGAGGGGAATGGGGGGAAGGGATCCAAATATCCATTTATCAATGAACAGTTGGAGTGCATGAATGAAATAAACATGAGCATTTGGTTTTTATTATTTTGCTAGCTTCGGTATCATAATCTGAACTTCTGAAGACACTAGTACAGAGTGGGGAGCAAATAAAATTATGTACTCACTTGGTTATCTTTCACTGTCAAATAGTGTCCTGTTTTTTCCAGATGAGCCACTTGCATGAAATATCCTGACAGCATTGCCTTCCGTATGTTGACATAGTAATCCCTGCTGTTGAAATCAGTACTGCATAACTTCAGGTTGAACCTAGCCATAATGCGCACAAGTTGCTGTCTCACATTATCTGCAGCCTTTAATGTCCTCTGGTTGATAAAATTTTCATAACACCAGTTTGGGTCCTCTTCTGTGAAGTGCAGGAAAGAAAAGGTGAGCAGGACCATCCAAGAAAAAAATATAAACCAAAAGCCAAAAGGACAAGAAATGGGCAAAATAGGCACTCACGATTCTGCTTGTAGGCATGATAGACGTTCAACAGCGTAAGGTGATCTCCATCAATGTGTCCAAACCTAGCTTTTGCTTCATCTGCAGCTTTCTGGGCCTCCCTAGGCCTCACAAAGCAATTGGGAACTAGATAAAGTAATTGTTATCACAGACGAGGCCCACGGAAGGTCAGCAGATGCATAGAGGCGAGACCAGACCATTTGCTTGATGAGAAAAAACTGAGAAATTGGATCTATCTGCATCAGCACTTACTTAGAAAATCTATGGCACATGCCAACCAGGGGCATGGAACCCAGACTAGATAGTTGCTGATGGTGACCTATACCGACTCACAGACATGCAATGCAATTCATGCATAGACATAACGTCTATGCATGTATAGACGACTTGAAAACAATTGACACATGCATAGACGTAGCCTATGCATGTATAGACGACTTGAAAACAATTGACAAGGATGCTGTCAGGGACAATTCTTGCCCCTCACAGACAACCAAAACAAGTTTTTAAAATGTGACATGAGACTCAATAATTAAACAAACATGCAAATAGACAAGTGACAAAAGATTACCTGAAAGCATTGCTGATATTGAAAGGATTTCATTTGAACAGTTGAATTCAGGACTCACGACAAGCATCTTTCCCATTTGGGGATCCAGGGGAAATTCACTCATAATTTCTCCAAGCCTGGTCAAATTACCTTCATCATCCAATGCACCAAGATAATTCAACACCTCTAAAGCTCGCATCAGAGTCTCTGGAGCTGGGGGGTCCATAAAGTCAAAATGTACCAGATCATCAATGCCAAGCTTCTTCAGTGTAAGTACAGTATTTGCTAGATTTGACCGCAGAATTTCAGGATAAGTCTGCGGCTGGAGATCATTATGGAAACTTTTCTCTGTGTATAGCCTAAAGCATTTACCAGGTTGTGTTCTTCCAGCACGACCAGCCCTCTGGTGTGCACTTGCCTTTGATATAGGAGAAACCAATAGTGATTCAACACGAACTCGGGGATTATAGACTTTCTGTTTAGCAAATCCTGGATCAATCACAAATACTATACCATCAATGGTCAAAGATGTTTCAGCAATGTTAGTAGACACCACAATTTTCCTCCCAGGAGGACCTCCCTCTTTCGTTGGAGGAGGAGCAGTTTCAAATATCTTCTGCTGCATAGCAGGAGGAAGAGTAGAATACAATGGAACAACTTTCACAGGTCCAACTTGGTCACCTAAATTTCCCACTTCTTTATTAATTTTACGACAAGCATCCTCAATCTCCTCCTCTCCAGTGAGGAAAACAAGTATATCACCAGGAGGTTCACACATGTGTATTTGTACAACGGTTCGAATAGCTGCCTCAAGGTAGTCTCTTTCAGGATCCTGGGTGTAAAAAATTTCCACAGGATGCAACCTTCCAGGAACTTTCATAAGAGGAGCACCATTAAAATAATCCTGAAATTTCTCAGCCTCAAGAGTAGCACTCATAACAACTAACTTTAAGTCCGGCCTGTTTCTTAACACTTCCTTCAAAAGCCCAAATAGCACATCTGTTGCCAATGTCCTTTCATGAGCTTCATCAAGAATTATAACTTTATACCTCTCCAAAAGTGGATCTGTCATTGCTTCTCTCAACAACATACCATCTGTCAGATACCTACAATACAGAATACATGAAACTTAGTAACCGCATAATTGTAAGTAATCCTTTTAGAGAAAAGGCACAAATTATAGAAAGGACATGCATACTTCAAAACCGTTCTTGAATTACTACAGTCTTCAAAACGAATACTGTAACCAACTTCTTCTCCCAAAGTCACATCCATTTCCTCTGCAACTCTACGTGAGACTGACATTGCTGCCACCCTACGTGGCTGAGTACAACCAACCATCATCTTTTTTCGTTTATCAGGAGACTCTAATTCCACAGCCTCCAAAACAAATTGCGGAATCTGATCAAGACATACATTGCAAGTCAGAAGAAAACTTGTCACATTTAATTTCCCTAACAAAAGATATATGATAACATTTTCTCAACAATTCATGCCAAAAAAATGCAACGACAATAAAACCAACCCTCTGCAAGTTAAAATTCCAAGACAACACACCTAAACCATAATACAGACAAATGTTTGACATCCTAAACTCTGTTTTACTCCACCAACTCAATCGTACACCCGTCAAATGTCTACTAACAAATACCTCCCTTTTACAGGCTTACAGCTACTCCACACTTAACAATCTTCCGATTATATTATTCTAAACAAAACCCACATTCTTCCGATATCTCTAACCCCTTTTGTAATTCTAGGCAAATTTGAATCCCAAAATACGTAACTAATCTGTATTTATTGACAGCGAATGTGTATCATGTAAAACATCATAGATAAACTAAATACGCAATAGCAATTACATAGCCTAGAACCTAATGTAAGCAAAACGATGGTTTACAATTTCAGCAAGAGACATTTAATCCCAAAAAATAACTCAAGCTATGATTACCAAAATATCAAGCTCAAATCAATACGAACGTATACACAAACATATCAAACCCTAATTTTTACACATTAAAAACATAGGAAAAATACCCAAAAAAAGCAAACGAGAAAACAATTATAAATAAACAACCTATCCAGGGTTTTCGACATAGATAAACCCAAATTTCAACAGAACTTAACTGAAGAAACAAAAATCAAAAAAACTAACCTGGGTAGTTTTACCACTACCAGTTTCACCGACTAAAACAATAGTCTGATTAGTATGAAGAACCTTCAAAAACTCCTCTTTCTGCTGCCAAACAGGAAGAGATTTACGCTTCTCCAGAATATCGAAAAATCGCTGAGAATAGGGCCTTCCATTCCATCGATTAATCGAAAGATTAGGGATTCCATTGTTCATCATCATCGGAGCAGCAGCACCGTTAGCTTTGGGAAGCTTGTTAATGGAGTTGTCGTCAACAACGTCGAACAAGCTAACCTTCCTCTTTCTCTCTGTCCCCATCAATTCAATTTACAAAACCCTAATTTTAGCCCGGATTATCGGATCCGAAAACCTCCCAATTAATTTATTTTAATTGAATTTGGGGGAGAAAGAGAGAGGGATTTCAGTGTGTTGTGGGTTGGGGAAACCCTAGGAGAGAGAAAGTGAAGAAGAAAGAAGGAAAAGGGAGAGTCCGCAGCCGTTGATATATATATGTGGGGTGAAAAAGGGTGGAGTAGAAATGTCAATATTCGCAACTTCTAGTTTCGTCCTTGTATTTTGTATACGTCGGTTATTAAACTTTCTGTAATTCTTGTAAAAAAAACTTTCTATAATTACAGCTACTTCGTATTTCGCAAAATAGAGGTGTCAATTCGGATATTTGTATCAGGTTTATTAAAGACGGATTGAATTAAATCGGGTTTATTCCAAAGTTAAATCAAACTCCGTACTAAATTATTATGTCTACACAAGTCAAAATCTAAATTAGGGGTTTTTTTTTTTTTTTGCTAGATAGAATCTAGTCGGCCCAGTTAGTTTTTGACACCTCTAGGCTCTTGTTATAATTTTTCTACCTTAATTTACTAGCTCGATGTAAAACAATCCTAGTGTATGTCAAAAAGGTGAATTTAATCTTATGTAGAGTAACTTTAAATTTGATATGATTTTAATGTAAATAGGTCATTTCATAAGTTTTAATAAGGATATATTACGTTTGCCTTCAATTCAGGCTTTAACTTTTGTTTATATATTACGATTACTTTTACTTATTTTAGAAAGACTTTACAACCGATGCACAGTACAATATTCATTCTACACCCTATTTATTGAAAACTTTTTCAATAATAATACTACTTTCGTTCTTAAAATTTCGACTCACTTACTAATTACTATTTGTGGTTAAAATGTACAATAATAACTTTGTTCATATTTTATAAATCAGGAGAAAGTATTGTAATTAGCTTGTTTGATATTGTTAGATTCTTTGATATAAATGTACATCTTCTAGATTTTTACTTGTTATAATTTTCATATACACAATTGAAGATTATACTATGTAATGGTCAAAAGATGTACATGGAAGACCAAGTAACAGTTCTGTGAGTCGAATTTTCAAGAACATGGAATATTTCATCTTCCTTGCCGTTATTTTATCATAATTGTTTGAATATATTTACCTTCAATTATTTTTATTTAAGTTATAAATTAAACATGTTAGCCTTTCATCATTTTATTTTATTTATTTGAATATGATAGACCTAAAATAAGTGATTATGAAGTGAGGAGAACATAAAACTGTAATAATAATTTATTAAAGGTTTCATCTTGAGGTGTTCATGCGAGAATAACTATAGTATGGATACAATTATTTATTTATCATTAATTGCATAGAGTCCATACAGAGTTGTAAATAAACTAATGTGATCTTGATAATTAAGTAGAAAAACTAATCCTAGTATAAGCTTTGGTTGTAGCTTGTAAGTAACATACTAATACTATCAAAATTAATAAATAAATAAACTTATAAGTAATTAACAATATACAAATACAGCAACTCTCTAATTATACAACTCCGTTGTTACCGGCCAAAATCAAGTACTTGTCCTTCCTTGTAAGTGTAGTGCACTGGAAATTGAGAGACTCTCCAATCTCTCTTTGTACATGATTGGCCACGTCGAACCTCGATTGGCTACGATCTTGACACGTAGACAAGCCGGAAACGGTTTCAAGCAACTGGACAGTGTAGCTAGGACGTGGGTTCATTAGGAAGAAAATAGGGTCCAAACATTTGAGACCACTAGCAGTTGTTCCATAAAACATGGTCACATGACAATCCATTGCCACAGGGGCAATTTTGTCATCCATTTCAGCAAACAAGGGACTAAACCTTAAGAGAAATGGTTCTCTACATGTTGTCCCTTCAGGGCAAACAACTAAATCCCCTTCATTTAGGAGCTTCTCCATCATGTTCCCGTCTTGATCGCGATCACGTGTCAATCGGACAGTTTTAATTGGTGCTAGGATCTCCGATACCCTACTTAGGCTGTATGTAACCGCGGTTAGTGGCTTGCTAAGTGCATAGGAGAGGAAAAGTGGGTCTAACAATGTTTTATGGTTGCAAACATAGAGCTGACCCTTTTTATCACCTTTGGAAGATGATTTCGGGTTCGAAGTTGTTGCACTTGTTAAGAGCCTTATGCCAGTGAATGTTAGGATTGGAGTAGCTATTCTTTGTGGAAGGGTTAAAGCAATAACACCTCTAAAAATGGCAAGGATTATTCCAAAAGGTAGCCACATAAATAGGGCTAAAGTGGATGTTGGTGTTGGTCTAAGAGCCAATCTTCCATCATGAAATATCAATGGTTTTGGGTAGTTCTCACTTGGTAGTGCTTGCCATTTCCTCTTCATTTCTTCATTCGTTAGATAAATTTCCTGCAAATTATTGAAAGCAAGATGTTAAACATCTATTTTTACTGATTAAACTATCTTGTCAATTTCGAGGATTTAAAACTTTATATAAATATAATTACATAGAAATAAAAGATTAAAAGTCAATGAAAAGCAGGAACTCAATACACCATAAAAGATATGATTTTTTTTAACGGTTTATTAAGTCGGTTGTTAAATTTATTGCTTAGTATTTATGTCTATGAGATTTAAGCTGGTCTGCTTTAGGATGCTGCCTCTTCAATCGGTCTCGCGTCTCATGCCCGGTATCAGTGTATACGTAAGTGCATGTCTATAAAACTGCGGCCAAAGCTATAACAAACTGCTCAACTTTCTATCAAAGTGACATCCTAAAAAATCTTAGCCCTTAGGTCATACCTGAACTCTTGGAAATGATGTTAGTTATGTTAAACCGAAAATTTGATCAGCATATATGGAAATATATTTTTATATTATATTGTATGACAATAGCAAATGTTCTGATCCTCTTAGCTTGAAAACGGTAAATGTACATGACAATATATTCCCTTCTTAGCATTACACTGGGATTAAAGGAATGGGCCAGGGATCCTAAAAGCTTTATTTTACGGGGTTAGTTTTCTGATTGAGCTACGAAGTAATTAACGCTTAGTTAGTTATGACTTGCGTCCATTTTTGTTGTCCTTTTTAGTACTTATTTGGTACCTATTAAACTAATTAAAGTATCGATACATTTCTTTATCGGTATTTAATTGAATTTTGGCTTTTACACTTTGTCAATATCAATAGAGTTTTTTACTACTGTTGATAATATGTAAATATAATACCAATAGGGGTCTCTTGTGTCCAAAATGGCAAATGCATGCATCGTCACTTTGGTTAGAGACTTCCTCAATTGACCACGAGGGTAGTCAACACAAGCCAACTAAGAGGAAAATCGAGCAACATACAAAAAGCATATTTATATCGTGACAATGATAAATCAGAGTGAATATCGTTATCTTTCAAATAATATTTTTTAATTACTACGTAAATTTTACTTAATATTTACATTATTACATATTGATAACAAGTTATTACTCTAAGTTAGGGCTGAGCAAAATTAACCGAAAAACCGGAAACCCGAAAATCCGAACCGTAACCGAACCGAAAATTAGGATACCCGTTTCGATAACCATAACGGTTTGGGTACCCGATCTGATAATTTGTTATCGGGTACGGTTATTGGGTATCATTTTAAAATTAACGGTTACCCGATCCGTTCCGATAAGCAATTTTTTCATTTTTTTTTCTACTTAAATCTATTTATCCAAAATCTAAAATCTTACTTTACTTCGTAATCACTTCATAATTTAAATAATTAGTAAATTATTAGTAATTTGGTCATAATCATGTGGTATTATTGTTGATTAGTGTTGAACGATATTATAATAACTATATTATAAAGTCTAAATTTTTATTATTGGATATCATATTGGGTACCCGATAACCGAACCGAAAATCCGGATACCCGAACTTATTGGTTCGGATAATGGATATCGTTTTTAGCGTTATTGGTTATCGGGTACCCGAACCGATAGTGTTAACGGTACGGGTACCCGTCCCATGCTCACCCCTACTCTAAGTAAATTAAAAATGAGGTTTCTTAAAAGGTTTCTTAAAAATATATTGAATATCACGTATCATATATTTAAGCACTACGTTACATATATCATATATGTTGCATGTATTACTTAATTACTACTCATATTGAAACAGAAATACTAATTATATATGGAATGATAATATTAATTATTGACAGTAAAAATAAGGTTAAAAAAAAAAAAAAAAAGCAGCATGTTAGAAAGTTACCTTGCAAAAGCGAAAAAATGGATGAGTTAGGGATGCTTTGGTGCCACTTATACCAATAACCTTAGAACCCTTAATTTCACCTTCTCCTAACATGTGCTTAAGATCATGCACATTATCTATCTTCTTGTTATTATCTTCCATTAAACCAATAAAATATCCATTATAAACTTTTAGCTCTTTTCCAACAACATAGTCAACCTCTAAATACTCTTTCACAAAGCTCTCAACCATCACATGAGGTAAGTTACTTACACCCATTTTCCTCTTACACTTTTTCACCACTTCAAACCCTTCTAACCCTACATCTTCAAGGAAAAACTTAGGCAAAACCGCTCTTCCGACCACAAAACCATCTTTCTTGATCCCACAAAAGCTAACCATAACCATCATCTTTAACCCCATTTCCTTGCTAAACATGCAAATGAAAGGGTACAAGACAAGGAGGAGCAATGCCCTTAAGAGACTCCCAGCTTCAAACGCGACAAGCATGAAGTAAGGGAACATAGATGATGATCTTAACAAAGTTTCCTCCACATTAAAGATCAAAGTTTGATCATCTTCACTATCACTTGATAATAGCTCATTTGATCCAATAAAGGAAGGGTATTTAAGCTTGATTTGAGTAGTATTAAGAACATTGATTACTTTTCTATGAAGATACTTAGGGGTTTTGTAATGTTCATGAAGAATTCTAGAAAAGAAGAAAATAATAGCTCTAAAAAAGGATGTATACTTCACCATTTTTTTTTTTAATAGCTTGTGTTTTTGGTTGTCAGAATTATAAGGGATTGTCTTAGTATTTATAGGGTTGAAGATATTGGGCCATGTATATTAATTGAAGTTATTTACGAAAATGGGATTAGGTCCAGCTGTATGGCGGTGTGCCAATAAATTTGAATAGGAATAGAATTGGTTTAGTCAAGACTTGTTAAATTTACTCGGTAAAATTCCTTAAGGTGCTCTGTTTTGAAATACCACTAGGTTGATTTGGTCAATGGTTTACTTAAGGCCTCCGAGTATCTTGCTCTGTCAATTTCAGTGAGAACTTACAAATTGGAAGCCAACGCTAGTACTTATAAAGTCATATACTCTGTAAATGCAGGACATTACGGTAATCAATATGTAGAAGTATTAATAAGGATCTGTTCACTTCACCTTATTTTTGCTGAACTTAAATTATTTTTACTGAAATGAAATTAATTTTACTGAATAGAAATTATTTTTGCTGAACTAAAATTATTTTTACTGATTCTTTGTTATATTTCTTTTTTAAGGTTACTGATTTTTACTGAACTGAAATTATTTTTACTGAATATTATTTTTTTAAGGTGAAGTGAACAGGGCGTAAGTCTAGTTTGTTATGCTAATTCATCAAATTATTCTAGTTTGGCTTGAAATTATCATGATGAATTCTACATAACAAAGATCGACTTAGGAAGCTTGTGAATAAGATTTAAGTATTATTTTTTATCTAATTAATTTATTCTGTCATGTTATAACAATTAACTTATATTATTAGTAAATTTTTAAAGTAAAATAATTTTGGTGAGAAATTTATCTAAGCTTGAGATTTGACTTGAGTTGGAATACAAGTATACTAGCTTGAGATTGAGCAATTCAAGCTCAATTCCGACATGACTATGCTTTTTTATCTATTTGGAAGACTCCAAAAACTTAAAAGAAAAATGACACCAAATGAGCAAACATATAACAGAGGAAATAATTCTTGTATTACATTCTAATTCAGAGCGTAAACTACACATACCAGCTTAAGAGGTCCACAACATATAATGTACAGTATATAGAATTATGCATCGCCCATCGTCTAATGTCGCAATCACAAAACCGTAGTCTAATAATTCATTCTTAGAAGATCGAATTATCACCCGCATCTCATGGAGAATCAAGGAATCCGCGTACATCATTTTGCATCATCCATCAATTTCCGATGTCGGCTATGTACGTAGTCAGTTATGCCACAAATTTACTACTCGATCTATCAATCAATTAATTAATTAATTTGGTCACTTAAGATAATTCATTTTATTGGACGATAAAGGTCAATTGGTCAATGTAACCCCAGACAAACTTGTACTACGGAGTAGTATATTGACATTAATTAATACATTATACATACATGTTGCTATGTTGCTCACCTTTTTAAAAATAATTAAATGTAGGTGGAGGATTAATGGGTTATTAAAGCATTTTATGCCTTGATAAACTTTGCTAGGGATAGGATTGGTATATATGCAATTTTAAAATCTAGAAATTCTATATGAATGTTAATACGTAGTATATAATTTCGTGTCTTTATAGTTGTATTCCACTGTTAAGTCCTGCTATTTTCTTAAACTTATAGACTGATAATATGTACATCTCAAATTTTAAGAACTAAGTAGGAAAAATTGAATTTTATAATAACTTGAACCTCTTGACTCTAATTCAGTGAGAGATAATAAAATACGTAGTAGATTAATTTGAATTGAAGCACACTGGCGCAATTATAGTATCCATTTTTTTAACGGAACACTTGCGCAATAATTATATATCCATGTGCTCCAAACTAGTCCATGGAGTTGTACTAGCATTATAATACCTTGTCTCTGGTAATGCATGTTCATGATGGATGGCTAACTTAATAAGTTGAATATATATAGTATATTGAGTTTTTATAATTCATCAAGACAAGAAAGAGTTTACAGCTTGAAGCAATGCATCTTATGAAATGCATTAAATTCCTTCATTATTCCCATAATATTCCCATACCCTATTGGGGCTTTTCCTCTTGTAAAACGTTATTTTACTCGTTCTATCCTTCCTGCCCCACTCGCTGTACTTTCCAGGAACCTATAAAGGCAGTTTTGGACTTTGGCTTGCATGTGAAAAGGGGAATTTGGTAGTTAAAGTAGCAAGCAAGTCAAATTAACTTGGATTATTTAGGGGATTAAACACATACTTACACAATTGTTAGTACACATCTAATGTTTTGTACTTCTGAATACTCCGTAATAAATTTGGATTTTACTACTATACTTGCACAATTGAAATAAATCCTTAATTGAGCATCACATCCATTGTTTTGGATAATCACATTTCCTTACGTTTCCATTGATTTTACTTATTTATTTTAGCAACTATATTGTCAATATGCGCTCTCAACCTAGGGGAGTTGAGAGATTGAGATGAAAGTTCTATTCAAGTAGTAAGCTCAACGTTGTTCATCAACTGTCATTCACTTAGTTTTCCAAAACTAGCGAAAGAAACGGGGACTAAAAGGCTAAACCCCCGAGCTCAGCTTGACTTAATCCAAGGAAATAAGAGGTTAGCGGAAAGAGTGAATCGATCCATTTACATTTTTAAACATTATGTGGACAGAAAAAAGTTATTTAGAGATGTGGATATTATTTATTGATAAATATATACGAATACTACTTCTATAGCACAAGCTCACGGTTGTCGATAACTAAGTGAAGGTAAAAACATGGTTTTTCTATGCCGAAATTGAAATAAAGTAAAGGTTTAGTAAATTTTAATATACACATTGAAATGAAAAGAGAGAGATCTTTCATAAACAGTGGGAATATAAGTTTGGATGAATGTATTTTTTTGATAAAAAGTTTGGATAGATGAATATTTGATGAAGGTAAATTTTAATCTTTTTTCATTCCCGTCACGTAACGTATGAATCTATCTAATCTATAGCAAGCCTATTTGACTTGTTCAAACGACAACAATATGCATATGAGACAATTGAATTAGAGCCATCCCTAGGTTAGAGGTCATAAATAATGATTGTGACCAAAAGTGGTGAAATAAAGAGGTAAAGGAGTTGATATATTTGGATAAAGACTAAAGAGGGATGGGCCGGAAGAAGAAATAAAAAAAGATGGTCATCATCGTCTCATCGATGATCAAGAAATGGACATACTCGTATCATTCTAGGAAGTACATATACAGTTGTACTTATAAACCATGCATGGTGTTTTACCAGTTATATATTGATTTAGTCAACGCGTCCTAGCTACCCTTAATGTGATATGGACTACTAGGTCCCGCTTATATGGTTTATGTACATGACTTGACTATTTCACATTGCTTATTGCCTTCACGTTGTTCTGGCCTTAGCCTCCAAACACGTTTAGGATAGGTACATTCAGTCTTGTTAATTTGAATACTCCGTATCATAGTGAAAGACGTTAATTATTTTAACTTTAATTGTTGTTTTTTAAATAATACTTTGTGTTTCGGGTGAAACAATGTGGTCAACACTTTGACCTTTGAATGTGGGCTGACTTGTTCGAACCGAACGTGATTTGAGCCGAAGTTGCCTGCACAAAAGAGCACGTTAATTGACTCTGAGGTCGATCCGAGAAAACCCTTCGATACCTAAATCAATACGTGTGATTGAAGTTCAATGAGAGAATTCAATACATACAAGTGTAACAAATGTAAATATGTTTGTAGATACCTCAATAAGGTGCAAATTTGGCTATTATTTAGACCCATGACTCCATGAGGTAGTAAATAGTGTGAGCCCCACAATAGATGGGCTGGCCTTGTGCAAGGGACATGTTTTGGACTTTTAGGCTAGAGGAATCTTATGGACTGATTTGGCTTTGGGTCATTTAGTTGAACTGCCCAAAATAGTCATTTTGGACCCAAACACTTTATATTGTTTATTACGAGTATGAATTAATGGACAGAGTAGATATTGCCTCTAGAGAAGATTGTTGATTTTGTAAGTTTATGTTAGATTTTTTTTTTTTAATTATAAATTATAAAACGTGTTATAGTTCCTAAATTATAAAACGTGTTAATCATTTTAAAAATTAGATTATAAAACGTGTTAATCATTTCAAAAATAAAATTTTTAAGACTCCTAAATTACCTTTAAATAATTATCAAAACAATTACAGTTCAAAGGTGAAGATACCGTAGGGTGAGGAAGATTTGGAGTATTTGTAAGGCAATGTACAGCACACAAGATATAGCAAAAACAGCCTCTTTGCTAGTACTTGTTTCACAAGCTAAACGCACAACAATTGCGCTATGTAGGTTGCAAATTCAGGCTATGTATGGCCTTTGTCATATACGTCGTACACACAACAGCATCATATGCAGCAACACACGTTTATTTCAGGCCAAAGAAAGAAAGAGCGTTCGACAGAATTTGTGTATCAGCTTGACTAACAAGCAAACAACAGCATTGTGTTGCATTCTTGCATTAGCTAAATAAAATGCGTCACCCCTGGGCCAACAAGAGCATAGCCACAAAGAGCGAGAGGTTGACAATTAATAAAAAGTACATACTACATACGAGGACTTGATAATCCTAAGATATCAATAAGCTAGTAATGTCTTCGAAAAATTTAACTTAGATCTAACTGCATACTAAACTAGTTGGAAAACACAACATGAAGTTTGAACCAAAGAACCAAAAATTTTGCTCCGCGTTCTGGGAATCAGAGTCAGGACAAGGTGCTTTTTGAGAGATGCAAATATCTATACAATCTCCCATAGATGAGGCTCTACGAATATTTACAAACGAATAGCCGTTTGGAAATTGGATTTCTCTTTAGACAAACTAATCATAAGTTGAAAAATCCATTTAAGAGAAGTGTCGGGTTATCCAGATGGTTCTATCAAAGAATTTTTATCGGGCATCCCTGCCTTCTTGCTCCTGGGGACTTGAACTGGAAGTCGCATCCAAAGAACTACATAAAGAGTTGAAATTCCTAATATCAGCATTATCTAATGTACGGAGTATATATTGTGTGAAAATAACAGAATTGACTACTCACTTAGGAGACAGAGAAATGGGCGGATTCGTTTCATATGTGGGAGCATTGTTGAAGAATTGGATCGAAATCAAACCTTCACCTGCTGTAGCTGGTGCAGGAGACCCCTGAAATTTCCTAGTAAAGCTATTTCCGGAGTATATGCCTGCAAGATCAAATCCTAATGATGTTTAAGAACAGTTACGAGTTGCCTCGAGTGACTAAACATTGTAGTCATCAGAAGAATTCTTCAGGGTACCAAGTTGCTATATTAGGGAATAAACAAAGCGGCCCAAAAGCACCCTAGTTAGGGATAAACAAGAACACAGCAGATAATATATGGAATAAAATAAATTTTTATATTTTCAGTAGCTATACATAGCTTAATCGTTCGTAATTGGGGGGTTAGTGGCAGAACATAATACATGATACATCAGCCAAATAATGAAGAGAAATTCTCAAATTCAGGAACGAGGATGGACATAGGAGGTAGAGGAAGCTGGAAGTTAGAGTTGGTGAGGATACACAGGATCATCTGTCACATAGATGTGCCTGTGGAATCATATATGAGAACTCAAATAACCTGAAAATTTAAAGAAATTACACATGTCTTAAAGCTAAAACACATGCATTTTAATGCAAAACAATTGAACCAGTAAACTAGATGAAAGTTACTTTTAAATCGCAAAATAAAACATAGGAGTGGTATGATTGGAAATCATAGAGGCATAACAAAAACAGAATTTTATGACCAACTACAATAATACATGCAAGAACTTTTGACAACAGCACTATTACTTTCTTTGCCCAAATAGTTAAAACAAGTTTTCCTACGTAAAATTAGAATAATGCATCATGAATTCATGATACATCCTCTAAACAAACATCAAGATGCACGTATGATGTTATCATGACTTGACAGATGACAAATTTCACCATTTTCCGATATCTACTGGTAAATCATAGCTTCAACATATTTCTTTTCTAAAGACAAAAAATTTGGGGCAAGAATATATTTCAAAAATTTGTTCAGGTAACATATACTTCATATATGTCACTCTACAATCTACATATGGTCTGAAGATAAAGCATGTGGGTTCTCTCAAGGATTAATAGTATTTGATTTTTCCATGCTCAGTTTATGATGCAACATACAGACAACAAGCAAGGAAGTGAATCCAGGTAATCACAAGAAGAATTAAAGGACCTTCATAATCTTCTCAAGTAAAATTTTTGGAAACAAAGGGTTTGGCACTTTATAATACAAACCTCTTTTTTTACACCCTAAAATTGCCTGATATATCAGCTTGGTTCAATCTCTCAGATTAGTCAGTTAATTGATATTATACATTTGTCACAAATTGGTATTCTAAAAACAAGCTTCCAGGAGCAAGTCTCCTCTACCGGGAAGCAAAAAGTTAAGTATGATTGAGCCAACAGAACTAATGCATTTGTTAGCAAGAATATAGGAGAGCATGATGCATAAATGGCCAAATAGAGAAGACTCAAACTCTGATAGGTACTATGTCCATACCTTGAAACACTATAATAAGGAAAAACAGAACAGTTATCACCATTGCAGTTACGCTGCTGCTTGAAGACGACCGCTTAGCATCTTTCATCTTCCTAAAGGCTTTAATCCGTTCAACTCTTGCCCTCTTCCTAGCAGCTAGCTCAGAAAGCTCCTTCACCAATTTCAGGTCCGATGCAGTCAACAACGGACCATTAGGAGGCCGGGGTGGTTTGGAGGCCTTTTTCGAGCCTAGCTTTTTTCGTGACTCATTTGAATTCCTCTTCTCAAAAACAGCAGCAAGGTCTCTACCATCTTCACTTCCTGAGCTTTTTTCAATGAGTAAATCAACTCCTTGACCAGCAACATCATTCGACTTTGGAAAACCATCACTCGAATCAATATCAATGGCACCATTTGCCAATCCATTAGAATTTAAACCCCCATTACGGCCCCCTCGACTCAACGATTTTCTTCCTCTTCCATTCCCAGAAACACCATCCCCACTTTCTTCCTCAGAGGTAGTACCACCACATTCAAGATCAACCAAAAACTCTCCTTCTCGAGAAGCCATAAGGCGCTATATTATAATTATAGTATATAGTATAATGTTGTTTACCACCTACAATCTTCCTCTTATTTATCATAAATCTAAAAAAATACTACAAAATTAAAGGCTTATAATTCCAATAAAAACGTGAATTGGTCAATTATATTTACAGCCAAATAACTTGAAAGAGTGGTAATCCTCTCACTTGATGTTCAAGCCTAACTACCTTTAAATTATTTGTTTTTCCATTAAATCAAATAAAATTAAAAAACAAAGAATTTTGAGAGATCCACCTCAAACTTTGGCTGATGATTGGGAAAGAGAACCCTGCACCTCTAGCTACCCAATTTACCTGCATCATTTTTCACATTAACAATCAATTAACACAAAAAGATTTGATTATTCTGCTAAAAATAATATAAAATCATATATAATCAAACCCTAAACATTATATAATTACTCAAAATCAAAATGACACCCAGAAATCAATTTTAAAAACCCAGAAAAATGACATAATAAACATTAAATAAAATGTATCCAATTATTAATAAATAGTATGAAGAATTAAAATAATAGAATGTACGAACCTGATAGAGAAGCAGGGAATAAAAACCCTAGATCACAGGCGAAAGGAGCAGAGAGAGAAAGATGGAAGATCTTTATAAAATAAAAAAGAAAGCCGAAAATTAAGGGGTCAAATTATTGGACATCAAATTAAGGTCTCCCAAAAATTTAGCTCAAACCCATTTTATACCAAAATTAAAGGAATAAAATCAAAAAATCAAAAATTATGAAAAGAAATGGATAAAATGGGGACATAATAAGAAGACAAAATAAATTAATTTTGTTTTACTGAAATAGAATTAATAATAAAATGGATTTGGATAATAACGAGAGGACGACGACAACAACCACACAGAAAAAAAAAAAAAAAGAAAAAAAAAAAAGAAAAGAGAGTAAAATAGAGTAATGGTGTTTTTGGTGTGAATGTCTTATTGGAGTTTGAGGAAAACGTGTCAGAGTGCGCATATTTTCGCTGACGGCCAAAAAAGTACATTTTTTATACGTTGTAAATTGGATGACGTGTCAACGGCTACCCATGAGGCATGTCTACAGTCTATATACGGATTGGATTTTAAGGCTTAGTTTAATTGACATGGGAAATAAATTCCCATATAAGGTTGTATTTTATGGAAAATCACTTTCCAAATGAAATTTCTGAGAATTTCTTTAAATTGTTTGGTTGTGTAATGGAAAGTTGAAATTTTCATAAACTTTAAATGACGAAGGAGGGGTTAGGTAATTCATTTCCTACATTTTGTGGAAGTGGAAATTCCCATGAATTTTAACTTCTCCTATTTTTACTTTTTTATATCAACTAAACAACTACCCAAATTTTAAAATCCCATCAATTTTCACTTCCCTCATTTTACTTTGTCAACCAAACAACCCCCAAATTACTCCCGCATGTTTTAATAAGTGTTACACTTTGATCGGCACATAATTTTGGACATTTACTTAAATAAAATAAGAGGTAAGTGGGATAGTTAGATATTAAGCAATTATACTCCGTAAAATAAAGATAATAGGTTAATAATTTATTGAAAAGTAATGAATGTGAGAGAAAAGAAATATTAAAAAACAGTAAGGTTTGGGAGGGGACCATGAAAAGAGAAGAAATAATACGAAGTATTAAAATGTAGTTTTTTGCCAAAAAAGAAAGTGCAACACTTATTATAACATGGAAGGAGTATAGACATTAGAGGTGTAAATTCGAGTATATGAGTTGGGTATATGAGTTAGGTTCAGTGAGATTAGGTCGGGTATTTGAGTTGGATTCGATGAGATTAGGTCAATTCTATTTTTAATTTTGAGTCATGCTAAATTATTACTCCGTATCTCTATGAGTCCACGCCCATAATACAAGTTGAAATTTAAATCGGACTTTATTTTGGTCTGTTGGATTAATTTTTAACACCTCTATACACATACTTATCATATGTTTTGTTATCGTATTTACAGAAAAAGTTTTAATAAGATAAATTTGACACCTCTGACAAAAAGGAGTAACAAATGAGTGTAGGTTTAACAAATTTTGGACTATGAGTTAAGATAAGTTTAACAAACTCTAAAGAGTCGAGAAGTGTTGGTTCGACAAAGGGGTTGGGTGAATTTTTGTTAATCTCTTAATTTAGTTAGGTTTCCGTAGATGTTTATAATTTGAGGTCGAAGGGTTTAGTGGTTTTGAGAATGCAATTAGGTGGAGTATTAGGAGATGGCTAGTTTTAATTTTTTATTTTGGCAAAGAATTTCTTCTTAAAATAATGATGACTTTATTCTAAAATGAAAATCATCGTATTGAAGTTACTTTGTGCTATTACAAAAAAAAATTGGCTAGAATGAGATCATGTTCCATTATTTAGTCCTCATATTTCGTGATTCCTATTAATAGTACAAATCTTCCATCAACTATCCATAGTTAGCATGTTATTTACTTCGTATATAGTTATATATTCCCTCTATCCTTTATTTTATTTTTACTTTGTTTTATTCGACTTTTCACAGTTTCGAAAATATATGTTAAAATGTTTTTATCTCCATTTCATACACATAAAAATTATAAAAAATTGATATTAAATAGGATCCCACATTACAATAGTATATCCTGTAAAGTAACGAGAACTCATGGTCAAAGTATAATATATTTAATAAGATCTCACATTACTATAGTGTAACTATTTCCTCCGTCCTTAATTTTTTGGCAATGGGGCAAAAAATTAAGGAAGGAGGAAATAATTATTATTCTATCGATTTCATTTCATAAATTTAATTTTTGATTAAAAGGATAATTGATTATTTCCTATTATTATTACTCCATATTATATAATGTTGATATACACAACAGTATAATATACTTCGTATAACGTTTTAAATTAGCTACTTTTCATATGCAACGCGCTATAGAAGAAACTTATAACATTAATATATTAAATTAGTTGGTATAGAACGGTAATTAACCGAAGAACAAGACAATCTCGAAAGAATATGCGCTTAAACATGACTTTTCTTGCCGGCCAACAGCACTTGATCGGCTTAATAATAAAATTATATTTTCTTCCAGTTTCAGTCGTTATGAGATGCATTATTTTCTAATCATAGTCATGCATCTAGGCATAATCTTTGTACATGCATGTTTAAGTCCACATAAGCCGTACTTACTAGTATTTATTATCTTAATAGTCATTTGACTAGCTAGTATCGTGATTAATAAAACTCTCGCATCAACATGGATCATCAAACAAGTATGGTAATTTTGCGACTTTTTAGATCACAAGTTTGAGTCTCACCATCTATTTATACTGTATTAGAAAGTGGAGATTCCCTTACTTTCTCAAGTCCTCCAAGGCTCCAACTCTTAAGCGTTGGCCTATATAAATAGACTGATTGAACCGTGAGAGATGCCGGTTTAAAAGACCTTATCAAAAAAAGGGGGGGGGGGGCGGCAAAATGTCACTGTCACATAATCTCAGAAATATATTGTGCTATTATCATCCAAAATAGGTCACTGGCTATACAGCAGGAGACGGCTGCATTGCACATAGTCTCAGATCATGTTAGCAAAAAAAACACATTCAATAAAAATCATACTCAAAAATTAAATTTAAGTCAAAAGAAGCCAAATGAGGCCTATCATTTGCAACATATACCCATCTCAGCTAAGACACCCTAATCAAATCCTTTCTAACAACAATTCAGTGAAAAAATGATTATTACTCCCTTTCAAATTAACAGTTTTCTACATAAATCTGTAATGGCGGTAACCTCTTCAGTAAATCAATAAAGATGAAAGTACTAAACAACACAATTCAACATAAACGGTCTAGCAGACAGGATGAACAAGCCTAGAGAAGCTGTTTGAATCACTCACCTGAAAAAAATTCCTAGCTCTGCGTACTGACCACAAAAAAAAAAAAACTATGAATAACAGCTTGGAGATTTTTTTTTTTTACTAGGTGTGAATAAATTCACCTGATTTGAATAAATAACTTATTCAGGCAATAAAGGGAAAGATATAACACGCGAAGGGGCCACTCTGATGGAGCTTCTGTGAATTATGAGAAGTGTTGCTCCTGAATCATCTGTAACCAGGGGAAGTGAGATTTTTCAAGAATGAACTGCAAGTGTTAAACAGCACTTCCCCCAACGCCCTCCTCTTTCACCAACAATAAGATGATGTCGCAAACAGGAGGATGATGACGCACAATCTTTTCTTTCTTTATCCCCATCGGATAATGGAAGATCCCCATGTAAGACCAGCACCAAATCCGGATGTTGCAATGATATGTCCTGGCTGAACTTTTCCACTCCGAACAGCTTCATCCAATGCCAAGGGGATTGATGCGGCACTGGTGTTACCATAATTTGCTAAATTAGACAAGACGCGTTCTGTAGGAACTTCCAAACGTGTTGCAACAGAATCAATAATCCTCTGGTTTGCCTGCACTCACAATTTTAGATCTTTAATGTAAAGCTATATAAAGCACCAAGATTTACTTGAAAATTAGGAATTGAAAAGGAGAGCAGATTATTCGTAACTTCATACTTTAAAATGCACTTCATAGCTTATTTCAGAAACTAACAGAAGTAAAAGATGTTTATTAAGCAAAATACCTGATGCAATAATAACCAATCAATATTGGAACCATTTAGACCAGCCTTTTGAAGTGCAGCTTCAATTGACTGGGGCACACATCTTACAGCAAAGCGAAAGACCTCTTTTCCATTCATATTAATACATGAATAGGATGGGCGACTTGGGGGGAAACCTGCCACGGCACAATTGCTACTTATTGCTGCATCGGCTTCATCATGTCTCAGGGATGCATTTAAATGCCTACATATAAGAGAAGTACATAAGAAATATGATTTGCGGAGACATCACATATAGTCCAACCATAACAACTGAATACTGATTCTGCTGTTGGCAGGGTCCAGAGATGTCCATCTGCACATAGCCTTACTTCTATCCAGAATAAAACTAATTAAAGAGGCTGTCTGCCCGTCCCGAAGACTCAAAGATGTATCACCTCTAGTTCAATGAAACTCGTATGCATACCTTGCACCCTCACCATCACTATGCAGGTCAAAAGCAAACATGCCATCTTCTTCACTGTCACAAGCCTGGTCCAATTAAAAACACCAAATGAATTTGTGCATCTACACATCTATGTAATAAAAGGATAAGCAGTAAATGCCACTCAAAAGCCAGGTCAAAAGCAAATATATCAAATACCCTATTTTCTTATACAGATGCCAGTTTTTTTCCCCTCCTCTTGAATTATAGGACAATATTGAGAATATGTAGGACATACAGCTCAAAGTCAATGCTATACACCAACGCCAGAGACAAAGAGAATGAGATAGCTAGTACAGTGGTACGTGGATAAGGGCAGTCGATTCTTCAAAATTACAACAGTTGTGTAGCATATAATTTAAGGGCATCATGGCTAATTAATTCAACGTATATGTCAATATATGGTTCAATACATCTGTGAAAACATTAATAGATATTCTTCAAAGTAACCCTTCTACTATTGACTTTTCCATGAGGCACACATTATTTTTTCTTCAAACACACCATAAGTAAAGTGTTGGCTTAATCACAGCAGACATTTTCAGTTTTCGTGTTTTTCTTCACATAATCCAAGAAGTTTTAAGTCTGGTAAACGAATTAGCCACATATGAAGCCCAGAGTTTAATGGTACCATCACTATCATGTGTACTGAAAAAAAAATGTGCCAAATGGAAAAGTTGATACTAAGAGAGTACTGCTCAGAATCAATCATAAATAATAACTCTGCAGAATTTGATGTATATCTGATCAAAACCTTCACTTAGAGTACAGAAAACAGCGTAGGTTATCTCAACTAAAGAAGAATGTTATTAACAGCCCACTTGTACATAACCATATTAGTATAGGGGTCACTAAGA